AAATAAAAAAAAAAAATCATAAAAAGCCCCTAAATAAAAAATTTAAAATCAACCTATTGAATCCTTGGGTTTTCACCGACGTCGCCCCGAAGACCGCCGAGAACTTCTGCGCCATATGCATCAGCGAGAAAGGCGTCGGCAAATCTGGCAAGCCCTTCCACCACAAATTGTCATCCTTCCACTGTGTAATCCCTGATTTCATTTGCCAAAGCGGCGACTTCACTGCGAGTAACGGCACTGGCGGCGAGTCGACCTGTGACGCCAAGTTCGGCGACAAAAATATCGTGAGAAGCACACCGGGACCTGTCGATGGCGAATGTCGGGCCGGGGACAAACGACACGTAATTATTATCTGCACGACAAGGACGAAGTGGCTTGATGACAAGCATGTGGTGTTCGGGCAGGTGGTGGAGGATTACGACGTATTGAAGATGGTGGAGAATGTCGGGTCGGGGAGCCGCCGGACCTCGAGACCGGTGGTAATCGCTGACTGGACCAACTCCAGATTTGATGGTTGTATGTCGTTTAATTTGATGTTTGTTGGATATTGTTTCATAACTACCTAATAATAGTCTTCTGATTTGTTAAATTTGACATTAAGAAATAGTTTATTGGAAACCTTTTTTCATAACTACCCAATAATTTGTCTTTTGTTTTGTTTAAATTTGAAATTAAAAAATAAAGTCAATGTCACGTACGTTCGTATAACTCTGGAAATCATATATGGATTTTGTATTATCTGATCGATTAGTTCCTAAAACATGGCTCATATATACCGCCATTTTTCAAAATTTGAAGTTTTAAGATTACTAATAAATATTTCATCAAATGATCATATTTATCTTTTTAAATTTATAGTTTTAAGATTACTAATAAATATTTTGTCAAATGGTCATAATTATCTCAAAACATTTTATCACACTAAAAATAATATATTATGATTTATCACACTACAAATAATATATTATATTCACAAATGTTTGAAAATTTTAGTTTGTGGAGAATAAAGTTTGCCACAAAATCAAGCAAAAAATATTTTGTATATAGAACTGTTCAACAATATATAATTTCTCTTACTTTGTATTTATTTTTTTGCCATAATGAAATGTTTAATTTTCAGTAATTATATTTAAAAATTAGTTTTTTTATAGGTTTTGAAGAAGCGCACGGCTTGCTCACTAGTTAAACATAAAATGAGATTCGAAGATAAATAGTGTAACCAACAAATTTTGACTTGAGAGGAGTTTCGCAGAATCGTCTTTTGTGGACCACCAAAATATTATGTGGGCTTTTATCATGATCTGACCCAATAAGATGTTTCGGCTTAGCCGACAAGAAAATAAAAGCCCACCTAAAGACTAAAATATAACATAGTCTTGATCTCAAATTGTGTCATCTCGACAAGAGCAAGAGTCGATCGGATCTATGACTATATTTTATACAAACCCTTTGAAGCTTAAATAAAGTAGACGAAAAGGTTGTTATAATATTTGATTCACTCAGAATTTTCACTACAATTTACTCAATTCCGATGTTTCCCAATGCATCATATGTAGGTAAACCCCATTCGTACATAGCAACGCCCGAAATATTATCCATATCTCATTAAAACACTGTCTCAACATCGGCAGAACATAAAACAAAGAACACAATTTTACGTTACATCACGACAAGGAGAATTAGAAGGCGCGTGCCGAGTTAATAGATCAAGATATCATCAAGCCTTGGCGCAGCAGTTGAAGTAGCGGAATATGCTCCTCCTCGCCTATGCCGAAGAACAACATAAATACAATTAGGATGATTTTCACAAATCAAATATCATGAATTACGTAAAATAAACCAAAAAGGAGACAGAG